AGGGAAGTAGAAAGTGACATGCCTTGCCAGAGTCACAGCTCTTTGGTGGCATGTCTAGGCAAACTGGTGGTCCACTCCCATCCATGAACAGTAAGGCTCAGGGCTATGGAATTGGCTGCTTTACTATTTTGCACTGTTGGGAATATATCTTTATGCAGGTCTCTAGGCAGAGGTACCCCAGTAAGGTAGCTGCAGTGTGTTGCTTGAACTGTTACAGTGAGAACAGAAGCTGCATGTGAAAGGAGCTCACCCTTACCAGCTCCCAGCTGTCTGCACAAGGCAGCAGCAGCACTAATGATGGCGGAGGCAAGGAAACCTCAGGTCTACCCATGCAACCAGAGAGGGGCTGTGTCCTGCCACATCCTGTCCTTGGAGTCCCAACCCAACACCCTCCCCGCATGTGCACCTCCGGCAGAGGGCTCCCAGGGTTCAAGGGACTATCAGTCACTCTTGGCCTTGGTTTCCTGCCTGCTCCCTCCCCTGACACTCCCATTCTCTGCCCCTGAGCCTATCACTCTCAGGGCAGTTCCCCAGTGGGGACCAGCTACATGAGACTGCTATCGATGTGGACCAGGGCCACTAGCCTGTAGAAATACAGAGGTCACTGCTGCCTGAAGAGCTACTAAGGAATAGGCCTTGGCAGGAAGGCAGCACTGGGCCCAGCAGATGCCAGCCTGTGAAGGCTGCTGCCGTGGGGCCAGACGGCTAGTCACAGATGCCTCCTGCTCAGGGAGAAAGTCTTCACGGATTTACTTCGACCTCAAACCATGGTTTCAGGCTGGTTGGTTTTTTTTGTTTGTTTGTTTTATAATTACTAGCTGACTATTTCTAGGCTTTTGTTTTTATTTTGAAAAGGATATCTCTAGGGACAGGTGACCCCCACTGAGTAGCAGCACAGATCAGAGGGATATTCTCAGAGGACTGCCTGACTGAGTGCAAGGGGCCCCGTGGCCAGGTCCTGCTGGGCCTGCCCAGACTGGGCTAGCCAGGGTCAGTGCCCAGGAACTGTTGCTCCAGAGATAGTTGGTCTGTGAGCTGCCAGGTTACAGGAAGGGCCAAGGTGGGAGGCTGAGAGCTAGCACTTGATGTGGCATCCAGGGGGCAGAGGTCAGCAAGCATTGTTGGGGCACAGGTGGGCTTGGTGGCCTGGAGAGTGCAGGATCAGGTCAAGTTCCAGGCAGGGGGTGCTCAGCTGAGGCTCAGAGGCAGAGCCTTTACTGTAGCTCAGGTGCCCTGCCCACCCCATTAGGATCTGGTTCTTCTCTTTTTTTTTTTTTTTCAGCTCTTGGCATCAAGACGATCTTGTTGCATAGGATCTGGTTCTTAAAGAATCTGCACTGCCTCAAAACATACCCAGATACCCAGAGAGGGTCTTCCAGGAAATATCCCCAGGTCAGACAGGTGCCTTAAATGGCTGCATGTTTCCCAGTCCTGGTCAAAGCATCTGACTGGCTTCCCAACTGAAGTTAGCCCAGGGTGAGGGTGGCGTATGGTCTGATCATGGCTACTCTGCAAAACCCAGCCCTGGGGGCCGGGGGGAATGTTCTCAGGGGAGGGGTATAGACACAGCTGCCTTCTTATGCTCATCGCCTAGGAAAGAATTGGTAGCCTAGGGAGAGGAACTTCCTGCTCAGGCAATCCTGGTTGTTTAAAGAGGTAAGAGGTACTGCTTCTCCCTATAGATAACTCCAGAGCCTCCACCCAGGCCCATCTGGCCCACTTTCTTCTTCAGCCTGTATCCCCAGCTCTCCGTCCGCATGACTCCTCATACTCACTGCCCCAACCACCCCAGTCTCTGTTTCCCTATGTGGTTCCTCTGTTCAGAATGACCTCCACTTTGTCCAGGCAGGCTACCTCCAAATCGACCCTCATAGCCCAGATCAGATGGTGCTGTCCCAAAGAGGCTTCCCTCAGCTCAGCTTGACCAGCAGTGAGAGTCAGGGACTTGTCCCTGGCACTGCCCCGCAACTGTTGGAACCCAGGGCAAAGTCCCATGGCCTAGGTGGCATCCACAGTGTCTGGCACATCATGGGCAGTGACATATGTGGGATGGGTTGGCACCACCGGGCCCCTTAAATGCTTCTGGCACTCATGGCATTTCCATTAAGAAGACGCCACCGCTGTCAGCACTTAGGCCCTGGAATCCGCAGCCTGGTCTCTGCCTTCCCGCCCCAGGCCTGTCTCTAGCTCACATGCCCAAGCCTTGCCTGGCTCTGCTTGCACCGTAACCATCCTCTCCAGGCCCACACTGCCTGCCCCTTGGTGATGCTGCCCCTGATTGCAGGGCATGAAGCAGTGCCCAGGGGTAAATAACTTGCCCAAGGCTGGGATTCGAGCTCAGCAGGTCTGTCCACCACTTCCCTCCAGACATTTTCCTCTTGAATTGCTGGCTGGCATCAGACTCCAGCCCTTCCCTGGCACTCCTTGTGCAGTTCAGCATTGGCAGTAGGGGTGCCCTGCCCAGACCTCCAGGGACTGCCCAATCTGACTCCTTGTGCTTCTCAGGGAAGGTCAGCTGGGCCGGGTGTTTGGTTCTGATATGTTGAAAGAAGTAGCCACACTTTGGAGCAGCTGAAGGAACTCCTGGGTCTCCCTGGACAGCTGGGGCTCTCCTGAGAACTCCCTAGAGCTGGCGTCTCTTTCTCTAGTAGGATCCTTTTCAGTTCAAAGACGAAGGGCCTTGAAGGTTTGTGGAGTGTCCCCATCAGTCATCTTGAGGACCTCAGTTCACAGCATTGTCTGGGGGCACGGCATTCCTCCTAAGCGCCCTCAGCTGGACTGATCAGACTCAGGCGCCTCAAGCTGGGGGTACATGCGCCCACAGTCCAGGCCATCATCTAGATTGTGAAACATGAGGTACACAGGAAGAGGGCACCTAGTGCTCCTGCTGCCACCCATCTGCTGTCTGGATGGCAGCCTGGGCTCTTCCGGGCCATGCTCCCTGTCTGCTGAGAATGCGTGTGTGTGGTAACAGACAGTGCCGTGCAGACACCAAAGCGCCTCCTCGGGAGAGCAATTTGGAAATCTCTCCTTGAGGGGAGAATTGCTCTTTGCAGTGTATTCTGTGGAATTAAGTGAGCCTCCGAGTGTCACTCCAGGGTTATCTGTGCTTCACTGGCTCTGATGGCAAAGACATGCTTCGGCTCTCGTCACTTGTAATTACATGTTTCCAGAGTGAGCGAGGCCAGGGAGCAGATGAGGGTGGGCTCTCCAGCCCTCCAAGTCCTGCCGCTCTGTTCTCCTCTTGCAGGCACCAGGCTGGAGGCTGAGGGTGCTGAGAGCTTGGCTTAGCACAACCCTAGAATTTAGGTCAAGTGGTGCATTGCCAGGAAGAGTGAGAGAGAGCTGAGGGTGGAAGCCTTACCTGGAAAACACATCACTGAATCTTTCAAATAATTTATTTTGCTGTCGCAGTTCCTGGCCTGGACTGGCAGAGAGGAACAGCCTTCTGTATTTTTCTTAGGCAACAATCTAGTTGCTGTCAACTAGATAGCAATTGTATCTGGTTTAAGTAGCAGGGTCTTTCCCCCATAAGGATCCTAGAATATGTAGCAGAAACTCCAACACTATGCACAGTGTCTAAATCAAGGTGAAGAGATTACTGGTGGTAGGGTGTGGTGTCTCACGCCTGTAATCCCAACACTTTGAGAGGATTGCTTGAGCCCAGGAGTTCAAGACAAACCTGGGTAACACAGTGAGACCCCATCTCTTCTAAGAAAAATGTACAAATTAGCTGGGTGTCATGGTATACACCTGTGGACCCACCTACTCAGGAGGCTGAGGTGGGAGGAGCACTTGTGCCCAGAAGGTTGAGGCTGCAGTGAGCTGTTGGCACCACTGCACTCCAGCCTGGGCCATGGAACACCACCTTCTCTGTCTCTCTCTGTCTCTCTCTCTCTCTCTCTCTCTCTCTCTCTCTCTCTCTCTCTCTCTCTCTCACACACACACACACACACACACACACACACACACACACAAGCTATCTTCTACAGGAAGGATGACACCTTGTCTGTCTAAAAAAAAAAAGTCATTGTCCAATAGGCAGAGAATGTCACTGATGGCTGTGGTGCAGCCACCCTGGCCAAGCCACAGGGCAGGTTCTGAGAGAATGAGCGTGGGCAGCCTTGCTGCTGCATTGGAAATGGATTTGTTTCTCCTCCCTGTTCCTCTTCTGCTCACTTGTGCATTTTGTCCTCTGTGTTCCCAGAGACTATGCCAGTGCCTAGCAGACAGCCAGCACTTTGGGACAATTTTCCAAATGAATGAGTGAATGAATGAATCAGTGAATGCTCTCATCCCATGTTGGTAGTATGAAACTTGGCATCCTTGGGGTTGAAAATGCTTCTGTATTAATCTATGCCTGGAAACATTGGAACATAAGTTGAAAAGTGAAACAAAACTACACAGCCATACTCAAACCAACCCACCCTGCAGCTGCTGCCTGGTCAGCCGCTCCTAGCATCTTCCCAGTGAGGCCATGGGACCAGGGGTTTCTGCTGCCTTGCCACACAGCCTGTGCTGTTGCTCAGGTGGGTGCCCAGTGGCTGCTCTGAGCCCAAGGTGGGGGCTGACATGTCCTTTGTCCTGTCTACAGCCCCCACATGGTAAATTAATTGGCATTAGGGCACTGTCCTCATCAGCTTGGTGGCTGTCCCTGATTTCTAATGGTCCTCACGTTTGCCTGCACACAATTGCTCCACACAGGATGTAATTAAATCCTTTGAACAGCACTTAGGGACATTTGATTATGTAGAAAAAACTCCATAGAAATGTAAGCTGTTGTGTGCAGCTGGTTTACCCCGTGGTTTCTGACAGTGCTCACTGTAGTGTGAAAATTACCTGAAAGGGAAGAGAAGGGGATGGAGCTGGGAGGGAGGCTGGCGGGGGTGCTGCTGTGAGGCCTCGGCCCGCGTTCCGTACAGAGGCATGGCTGGGAGGGCTGGGGTGATCCTCACCTGCCTGCGTGGCCCTGATTGATCCCTTGGCCCTTCCTTCCCCAGGAGCTGCCAGAGCATGACAAGCCTGTTCAGTAACACTGTGTCACCGACCCAGGACGGGACCTCCTCTCTTTCCAGGAGGCAGAGCTCGTTCGCCAAGCCCCCGCTCCGTGCCCTGTATGACCTGCTCATCGCGCCCATGGAAGGGGTAAGCACTTCCTGGGGGCATGAGGCTCCTCTGCGTCAGAACACATCAGTTACCAGTCAGTGCCCACATGTATGCCTTTTAGACACCAAAATGGGCTCCCGAGACAACCAGAGGCTTTCTAGAACACAAATTCCCTCTGTCCAGCTTCTCAGTGAGCATGTGAAAGCTAAGGTGGAGCACAGTCTGGGTTGGTTGATTGGTAGTGGATGAGGCCTTGAGCTTCAAGTTGCAAATCTGGGTTCAAGCCCTAGTTCTGCTCCCTACAAGCTGGTGCATTCAGCCTCTGTGACCTCACATACAAACGAAATGATGATGCCCCCTTCCCAGCCTGTCTAACAGAGTGATCATGCGGCTCAGGGAGGTGCAGGGCTGTGCACATCTAAGTACTTGTCAGTAGGGCCCGTGCATCAATGTGAGGCCGAGGCTGCCCTTTCCCACCTAGCAGATGCCTCGGGGATGTGGCCCTGGCTGTGCCCTTCCCAGAGGGCTTTTTTTTGCACCTTGTGCCCACACCCTACTGGGAATGATGCTTTCCCACCTCCCTACCTCTCATTCAAGAACGTTGTCTGAGCAACTTCAAACCAGGGCTGTGCTTTCCAGTGAGGTGGAGTCTCAGAGACTCAATCCCACCTCCCTCCTTCCCTCAGCCTCAGATGTTGTTGGGAATCACTGATTCTACCATAGAGTCCAATGTTAAAGACACCCTTGCATAAGCTGCCACAGACAGGTTTTCTGTGGTGTGTGTTCGCCTGCCCGGGTCTTTGCACATCACTTTTAATTCAGACACTGGCCTCTGACTGAGCGGAGAGTGCCGGAGGGCTCAGGATCTTTGCAGTCCCAATGGTGAGCCCATCAGATGCCTTTTCGTGGACTGTCAGGGAAGCCCAGGGAGGCTGCAGCGGGTGAGCAGGCTGCTGTTAGTCAGGCTGCATGGCCCCTTCATCCCAGTGATCTGCAGCCAGGTGGGAGATTTGTCCCACAGCTGTTGGAGTGGCCCTCAGCAGCTCTCTCTTCTGCTCCAGCCAAATGATGGAGGTGAAGTGTATCCCCAGGAAACCGCATCTGCACAGTGATTTCTTTGTCCCTAGAAAATGCTTACACCTTTCTCTACCTGGCCTTCCAAGGACGTGTCTTGCCTAGTATTTGTCAGGAGGCTTCACTGCCTGCCAGTGCCCTCTGGATGTTCTCTGCCTTGGGGAGGCAGGGTGTGGCGGAAAGCACAGAGCCTTTGGGAGCCAGCAGGGCTGGATTTGTGTCTGGCACTGCCCTTTTCTGGCTGGGTGATGTTGGCAAAGCTGCTTCTCCTCCTGGAGTATCTGTTTACTCATTAGAAAATGAGGATGATAACACCTAATGCAACAGGGTAGAGCAGGTTAGATAAGTGTGTAAAGTGCCTGACCAAGCACAGTGGCTCTTGCCTGTAATTCCAGCACTTTGGGAGGCCAAGACAGGCAGATCACTTGAGCCCAGGAGTTCCAGACCAGCCTGGGCAACATAGTGAGACCTCGTCTCTGCAAAAAACACAAAATTAGCTAGGCATGGTGGTGCACAACTGTAGTTCCAGAGACTTGGGAGGCTGAGACAGGAGGATCACTTGAGCCTGGGAGATTGAGGTTGCAGTGAGCCATGATCGTACCACTGCACTCTAGCCTGGTGACAGAATGGACTGTGTCTCAAACAAAAAACAAAAGTCATAAAGCCCCTGAGGCTGCAGCAGCAGTGAATGTGTGCCTGGCGAGCAGTGGCTTCTGTGCCCAGAAACCTCTTCCAAGTGCCAGGCCACTGCCACTGTCCCTCCAAGCCATCCCTGCACTTGTGGGCCTCCCGGATCCAATCACGTCCTTGCATGCACATTCTTGCAGTCCTTGCACATGCTCAGTTGTCCTTCCCTTCTTAGGATTATGACCCTCTCCTGCACCTTCCTTTTAATGAGATGACCAAAACTGCAGAGAATTCTCCAGCTTAAAGCTTCTCCAATACCATAATCACTTACCCTAGTTTATGTGCCATAGCTCAGAGGAAGAAATATAAACCTAGCACCCTTGCTTTTTCAAGTTTTTCTTTACTGCTATTGACTGTCATGCAAACCATTTCAGTGACTTACTACCAGCCTTCCCTCCTGCTCACGCTGAGGTCTGCGTTTCCCAGGATCCCCGCTCCTCTGAAGGGTATTTGGACTCTCCATTCTTTACCCACTTGACCTTCCGAGGCCTTTGCCTGTCTCTCTTTGCGTTTCTCCTTTTGCATTCAGGTCCCCAGATTACTTGTACCATTAATGTTGCATTGGTGCTTGGGGACCAGGAGGGGAGCAGAGGGTGAAGATGGAGACTGGCTGTGACTGCCACCTCTTCCCCCGTGAGACTCAGGTCATCTGGGGCTGGCATCTCCTCTCATCTCTCTAGCCCCACCTACCTCTTCTTTGAAACGTTCCTTGCCTCTTCTCGTTGCCTTCCTGGAGCGCTTCGTCCCCTTCCCCACCACTGGGCCCCTTGCATACCTGGATGTTTTCATGGCACCTGAGATAATCAGGTGTCCACGTCCATGGGTTCCTCATCTATGGATTCAACCATGGATTGAAAAATACATATATATTTTTGAGACAGTCTTGCTCCATTCCCTAGACTTGAATGCAGTGGCAGAGATCATAGCTCACTGCAGCCTCTACCTCCCAGGCTCAAGCAGTACCCCTACCTCAGCCTCCTGAGGACCTGGGTGTGCACCACCATGCCCAGCTAATTTTTATATTTTATATAGGGACAGGGTTTCACCATGTTGCCCAGGCTCGTCTCAAACTCCTGGGCTCAAGCCATCCATCTGCCTTGGCCTCCCACGGTGTTGGGATTACAGGTGTGAGCCACCACGCCCAGCGAAAATATTTATTTTTTAATTCCCCAAAGTTACAAAAAGCAAAACTTGAATTTGCTACATGCTGACCACTACACTGAGTCCATGTGAATGAAGTGATATATAGGCATTCTGTTAGTCATCTAGATTATAAATAATCTACAGATGGTTTAAAGTGTACAGGAGGACGTGTGAAGGTTAATGCAAATATCATGCCATTTCATACCAAGGACTTAAGCATCTGAGGACTTTGGTATCTGAGGGGTGACCTGGAATAATCCCCCAGGGATACCAAGAGGTGACTGTGCCTGGTTGGACTCAGGGCTTAGCTCTGTGCTTGCTGCCCACACAACAGTCCCTGAAAGCAAGGACTGCCCCTCCTCTCTCTCCCCAGCAGCTGTCACTGTACTGGTACACATTGGTGGTCGGTAAAGTTTCTGGAATGGTATGGGGTCCAAAGCAGCATTGCATTTTCAGTCAAGTTTGGCATAGAAAGCAGAAGAGCCAACTTAAAAATCAGCCAATAGGCCTTTCATGGCCTCTCTTGGGTTGAACCAGGGGGTTTTCCCAAGAGGATGAAGCAGAAGGAAGGAGCTGGGCCTGTTCTCAAGGAGCTTTGAATCTAGTGAGCGCCCTGCCTCTTGCCAGCTGGCACAGTGATTTCAGGGTGGGAGCGTGGGCCAGTCGACATGCCTGCAGGCCCTTCCCCTGAGCATGGTTTCACTGGCCAAGGTGTCCACGCTGAGCCAGGTGAAGGTGATGACTGTTGTGGGGGCTTCATACTTGAGGCAGAAATCTGCTTGGTGAAGGCCATGAAGAGATGGAGGGTAGGAGGCGGCCCTGCCTTGGTCCATCCCAGTGCTTCCCACAGGTCATCCTGGAGGGGGTCCTCTGAGTGTGTAAAAGCTGTACCATGTGTTTTAGAGTTTTTCTCCCTATGGACTTTCCCCTGTGACTTAAAGAATAAAAAGATGCTCTCGGGATTAGTGGTAGCTGGCTTTGGGACAACCTAATTTTCCTGTAGGGTGCTAGCAAGGGAGAAGAGTATGGACTTAAGCCTCAAACAAGTTAGAACAATGATCAGAATGATGCCTTTACACTCTAGGAAAAGGAAAAAGCCCTGTCACCAGCATTTAAAAAAGTGAAATGCTGCCAGCAGCACCCTCTGCTTCTGATGCCCTTCAGAGCTGGTTGTGTGGACAATATGATGGGGCCCCTGAACCCACCTGCGGGGCTGCAGTCTTATCTTGAGGTGACGCATGCAGTTGGAAAGCACATCCTTAGTTCCTGATATCTACAGATACAGTCTCTTGTGAGTCAGGTCTGTGAACACAGGGAAGGAGTTTGGCTGCTTTAAATGAGACAGAGTGGAACCTTTTTAAAGGTATTAAAGTAAGTCATCAGAGCAAGCACTGTTCCTTGGCTAACTAAAATGATCCGTTGTGTATCAGTAAAAACACTTAACTGAGAAATTGGAGTCTAATTAGGAGTCCTCTCCATCCCCAGTTTTATCCATTTATTCAACAGATATTTACTGACTTGTGCCAGGCACACACTGTCCTGAGCCTGGGGGAGACAGCTGAAAATCTGGGCCAGTGTCTTGTGTTCTCATGTCTGGTCACTCACAGACTAAGGGTGGAGATGGAGGCCAGCACCCAAGGCCGGTGGGCCATGCCGAATTGTGGCAGGTCAGCCTCAGTGACCCTGTCATCTCAGGAGGGTCCAGCACTCCTCACCAGGGCTGCCCAGGTAGAGGGAGAGGAGGCCTGGATTGTTCTCCCGCTCTGGCTGCAAGCATGCCGTGCTGCTCCGGAGGCCACGAGAGGGCGACATGATACCACCAGCCGGCTCGGGAGCTGTCAGCGGCCAGGCAGAGCCAGACCCTTCTCCACATTTTCAGCGAGAATACACATCAAAGCCAAAAGTCCAAGATGATGAGTCACTGACACTTCAAGACTAAAACGATTAGCCTCTTCACATAGGGCCTATAATTATTTGAACAACTGCCTTTGTTTAGCCGCAGTCCTATTGCTCAGGGACTAGGTCAGACAGAATGAAAAGTGGAACAGAATAATATGTTACCATAGGCCTTACACCAGTATGTGATTTAATTTGGCTTAAGGGAAACACTGTCGTGGCTCTTTCCTGGAACCATG